GGCGTCGCGGGTCGTGCGCAGTCGCTGGTCGCGGGCTCGTCGCTGCGCAGCTTCACGACTCAGATGAAGGCGGCGGCCGCCAAGGCCGCACAGCAGCAGCCGGCGCAGGCGCTGGCGGCGGCGGCGGCGCCAAAGCCTCAGGCGCAGCAGCAGCAGCAACTACAGCAGGCCGCGGGCTCGTCGCAGCAGCCTCCCTCGAAGCGGCAGAAGTCGAAGAAGGAGCTGGCGGAGGATGACGGCATGTCGCTCTGGCCGCTCTCGGAGAGGCGCGACCCGGCGGTGTGGCGCGCGCTCTCGGGCCTGAGTGCGACGCACGGCGCATGGTTGGGGCGCGGGCGCGATGCGTCTCAGGGCACGTACGACTCGCTGCGGCTCGCTTGCGCGTGGCGCATCCAGAACCCGCGCCGGAGCGCGCGCGTCGAGGGCGGCACGCGCTGCATGTCGGACGAGCTCGACTGCCTGAAGCGCAAGCGAGGTGTGGCGCGACATGATGACCTCGAGCACGGCGGCGGCGCTCGAGGCGCAGGGCAAGCTGCAGCTGCGCGCCGAGCTGAACGAGGTGCTGCTGCTGCACGGCATCCCACGGACGGAGCTCGCTGCTCACCGTACTCGCCAACGGCCTCAACGAGCGCTTCAGCGGCACGCACGCGGGCGCCGCGTTTGGGAATGGCGCATACCTAGCGGAGGATCTTGGCAAGGCGGACCAGTACGTCGACGCCGACGCCAACTACGACCCGGCGAGCGACCTTCACCAGCGGCTCTACGGCCGGTCGTACCCCCACCCCCGGGCACCGCCTTGCACTATGCGCTCGTGTGCCGCGTCGCGCTCGGCCATCCGATCCGGACACCCAGGACGCGGGAGCGCTGGCGAGGTCTTGCGACGATCCGAACGAGCGCGTTTTCCCCGTGAACGTGCGCGAGCTTGCCCCCGTGCCCAACGTGGCGCCGCCGATGCACTACCACTCGCTCATCGCGGAGAAGGGGCCGGGCCACGACCGGTACCGCGAGTTTGTCATCTTCCACGCGAGCGACTACATCTGCCCCGAGTACCTGATCGCGTATCATCGCGAGAACTCGTCTGCGCTGACCCTGAGCGAGGCAGCGAGCGCGACGTGGTGGTGATGCTGCTGCACGAGAAGGGGGCCCTCGCCCTGCCCCAGCTCATCAAGCACTTCAAGGAGGTGCCCCCTTCCTTTGGCGCCGAGGTAAGGAAGCACCTGCAGGGCATAATCAAGAAGGTGGCCAAGCTCGACAAGCGGGCCGACGGCTCGTACTCGTGGTCTCGTGCATGGTCGCGTATGCGCGGTGCTCAAGGACTCGACCATGCACGAGTACGGCTTGCGCCGGCGCTGAGAGGGTGCGTCGTAGCGCCGTTTGTTTTTGTGATGTGTAGTATTGACACGGCCACGATCGCAGCCAGCTTAGACGCTCCCTTCTCAGCTCTCACGGTCTCAGTGTCCTCTCACCTGACACCTCTCAGAAGCGCGGGGTCTCTCTCGTTTTCGCGTGCGCGGTGCGCGGCGTGCGCGTGTGCCTTGTGACGCTTGAGAGATTTAACGATCTGAAAACTGAATAACAAAACGAGGGGACTCATCGCAAGGCACAATTCTGATTCCTGTCTGATGCACCGGCGCACTCCCGGCTACAAGGCCTTCGCGCACGGGGGCTGAACAAACGACCCGCACCGGCACGGGTCTTATAGCACACATAGTGAGTCACTCTGCATCGCTGGGGCGGTCTCGATGCCTCGGGAGCCCGCCCCCCCCGCCAAAGAGATAACGCCACCTCACCGCGCAGCAGCAGCACCTCGCGGTGACCCGCCACCGACCGTGGGCGTCGCAACGGCGCTCCTCCCGCCTCCGCCTCCTGCTCCTCCCGCGAGCCTCCGGTCCGCCCCAAGCGCGAGGGCGCGCGCAAGCCAGCCTACAAGAAGGGACCGAGCGTCGCCTTGAGAGGCTCTGGACGGCGACGGCGACAGACCGCACGTCGATCCAGCCTCGGTGACGACTCGCCTATCAGAGAGCACGGCCGGGCCTCACAGTCCGCACCCGCGCGAAGAGGGGGGGAGGGGGGAGGGGGGGGGGGGGGGCACGGCCGGGAGTCCCGACAACACAAGCTGTGGAGGGAGGGTCGGTCCGGCGTGGGTGGCGGCCGCACCTCGGCCATCGCCGCAGCACCGAAGTACGCCTCAACGCGCACGAGCTGCTCCTGCGCCTCCTTGAGCTCCGCCTGACCTCGGGTGATCTCGGATGAGATCTCGGGTGATCTCGGGCGGTCTCGGGTGATCTCGGGTGATCTCGAGCTCGTGCGGAGGAAGAGAGCGCGCCTTGATGCGAGCAACCTCCGGCGCCGCCGCCTTGAGGTACTCGTCGCGCGCCAGCAAGTCGCGATCGCAGGTCTGGGCGCGGCTTTCGGCGCGCGCCAGGTCGGCCACGGCGGCGCGCAGCTCCTCGGAGCACGCGTCTGCGCGGCGGGAGGCGTCGTGGTACGCGCCCGAGACGGCCTGCTGCGCCTGCGAGTGCGCGTGCTGGTTCGACCGCATCAGCTCGACCAGCCACGGCGCTGTGCCCTCCCGCACTCCGGGGAGGTCCGCCTCTGCCCGGGCCGTCGGACTGTGCAGCGAGAGGGCAGACGCGCCGACAGCCACCAGCAGAGCGAAGGCGGCCATCGCCATAGGCAGCCACACCATCGTCCCGCCTCTGCCGCTGCCACCACCACCACTGCCGCCACCGCCACCGCCGCCGCCGCCTCGTCGCCTGGCGGCGCGCGGCCTTCTGCCGCCAGGTCCCTCCGTCTGCTGGTTTGGAGACGCTGGCGGGGCCGCACCACTACGTTCACCCGGTCGCGGAGGCGGAGGTGGAGGAGGAGGTGGCGGCGGTGGCGGTGGCGGACGCGCTGACTGTCTCGGGTTCTCAGATGCGGGTGAGCTCATCGACGGCGGAGGAGAGCCTTGCGAGTTCGAGAAGATGCTCTCAAGGGTGTGCCTCAGCGACGATGATGCGCCGCTCACCGCGGACCGGCGAGCGAGCTCCTCAAGCTCCGCGGCGCGGCTCATGGTGGCGGCCCCCACCGTTGCCTTTGTGCACACCACCGCGATGGCTGGATTCGGGACATGGGCTGGGTGGGTATAAAATCGCGTGTTGGAAGATTGAGGCGGAGCAAGCCTGCTCTAGCCTCGCGTGTTACTTCCTGTCGTCTGTTGTGATGTTGTGCCCTTGTTTGTTCTCTCGGCACCTTGGAGTGCTGGGGGAGGCGACAGGGAGGATGTGGCCTTGACGCTTGAGTTATGTGTACGCGAACTCAGGGTGTGTGGCAGCCAGCTGGCTGTGTGTCTTGTGAGCCTGTTTGTGTCTGTGTGTCGCTCGTGCGTGTCGTCATCATCTGTCTAGCGTCCACCCAGGATACCGCGTCGTTGGTGTCCAGTCCGAGCCTGGTTGGTGGTTGTTTTCTTCACCTTTCTACCTACCTACCTACACATCCATGGACCGGCACGAAAAAAGAAATGCTCCGGGTCGAAAAGGCGTGTGGTGTGTGTTTGTGCGGAGCGGCGAAGGGAGGGCGGGGGGGGCTGGGCAGAGGCTCGAGGGCGGGCCGCTGTCCCGGGAAGCCGGGCGCGGAGGCTGACTGGAGAAAATTAAGAGGGATCGGATCCGAGCTACCCCACCCTGCTAACTACCTTCCTAGGTGAGCGCACCCACTCCAACCTCGCCCTCGGACCGATCCCTACACCGCCGATCAGGCGCATGCGACGAGGCCTCTTGTCGCTGCTGCTGCCACCGCCTTCTCCCGGCGCCGTGGCAGGGGCAGGGGCAGGCCCAGGGTCGGTGGAATTGCTGGGAATGGACTGGGTTTGTTCGTCCAGCTTTTTGTGCACCCGGTCGAGCTCCTTGATCACCTCACGCAGCAGCTCAGTGTCGGTCATGACGCCTCGCCCGTTGTCGTCGGTATCATGCCGCCGCGCCAGCTTCCGCTTGCGCCGCTGCAGCAGATACGCCTCGAAGAAGCTGACGAGGACCGCGACTCCGGTGAATGTCCCAAAGACCACAAACACTCCGTACTGGTCGGAGAATGCGATGCGGTGGCTCACTTTCTGCAGCGAAGCTGGGCACGCCCCGCCCTGGTTCTGCTCGCGGGCGTAGATGGTGGTGAGGATGTCGACGGGTGCACTGGCGCGGAGGTAGGCAGTCGACTCTTGTAGCGCGGAGAAGAAGGGCCAGCCGTAAGACTTGTTGACCGCGAGGAAGATCTGCGCCAGAGGGCCGTGATGCAGGTGGATCCCGCGACTGAACTCCCAGTTCATGCAATTCTCTGGCCGCGCTCTGTCCAACAGCCACTCTGCGAGCTCCGACTGCGGGCCCAAGATCAAGCCCGCCTCACCCGCACGCACCTTTTGCGCACACCGGTCGATGAACCCGCTGCTACTGAACGTATCTGAATTCTTCTTCTCCTTGAACGTCAGCTCACCATAATTGACTGCTACGCCCTCGCGATAAAGGGCATGATCGTGTGGCATCCAAGCGCCGATCATCCCACCCAGCGTATTCGGAACCCCGTAGAAGATCGCCTCTTCGTGGTGCGATTCCATGGTGTCGAAGTCGTGCGTGGAGCAAGCCACGTGGGTTTTCAGCGCCTCCATGTCCTGCGGCCCTCTGACCACACGCCCCGATGCGGTGAAGAAGGCGGCGAGGTTGGCGGTGTACGAGGCAACGGTGATGAGGATGAACATGAGCCACCCCACCTTTAGGATGCGGGAAGAGGTATTGGTCGTCCATTCCAAGTCTTCCTTGCCCAACAGCTCGGAGACGGCGTGGTAGAAGAGAAGGACGCGATCTGAAAAGCTGGCAAAAAAGAAGCCGCCGCGGACTCGCGTCGCGTTGGTCCGGGGATCGCGCAGGGTCATCGGCATGAGAGCGCCGACCACGATGCAAGAGATTGCGAGCGCGAGCCACAGAGAGGTGTCAAAAGGCTCTACGGAAGCAGCGAGGCGGGAGGTCGCCGTGAGGTCATGCGGGAAGGGGAGGCGGCCGTGAGGTCACGTGGGTGGTAAAAGCGTAAATGAATGTGCAGTGCGTGACGGTCAATGGGGCACCCAAGAAGGTGAAGATTCCCAGCTGCGACGAGTCGTAGTAGACGGGCAAGAGGGCGGCCTCGTCAGCTTCGACGAACGAGGTTGTAACCCAGACGCTGCGCTCCTCCGGCGGCTCCAGCCATTGGAACCTCCGGTTGAGCGTCACAAAGCGGGTGACCGGAACGGTCGAGTGTGAGCCGTCTGTCCTCTGGCAGAAGAAGTCGGGTGTTCCGTCCATGTCGTTCAGGCAGTCGCTGTCTCTGAGGTAGACAACACGCGCCGCCATGTGGTCGGTTATGAAGCCGAGCATTGCGGCCAGCGTCCCGCTCCAAACGCCAAGCGAGTCTTGCACCAGCCCAATGCCGATCGGGCCAGTGTAGGATTCATCCGCGTAGACGAACAATGTGTCGTTGAAGCAGCACCTGTGGGAGAGGCCGATAGGGCCCCCAAACTGATTTTTGTGCAACCGTTCGGCGTCTCGATCGCTCTCCGAGAGTAGCTGTCTCCTCCGCATTTGCGCCATCGTCACGGACATCCGTCGGGGTCCGTCCTGCTGTTTGCATAAAAGTAGAGACTCTCTAAAAGTAAACTCGCCACTTAGGCACTCTCGCCGTCGTGTTCTGCCTGCCTTGCGTTTGTTACACACACATTGTTTCATCTGTGTTTCAGGTAAATTAAAATGAACTCGGGGGCACAGAATGTGGCACAAACGGGGCACGAACGCCAAAACAAAAAACAACCTCTCTCTCTCGAACGCCAGGACCCAGGCAGGCAGGCTGCTACAAAAGACGGGGAGGCACGTACTCGAGTACTCGAGTAGTCTGTGTGTTTCATAACATCGAAGGAGGCTGGCTCAAAGAGGATGAAAGCGTCTGAACCACAGCGTGTCCCGGTCCGAAGTTTCTCTTCTTATCCGTTACCATGTAGAGCAAGGTCGAGGGCGGGCCCTTTCGGGCTCGGGCCGCCCTCTCGCCCGCACCTCTGCGGGGCTTGCACGGAAAGAAGAAGTGTCTGAAGAAAAAGGAATCCCGACTTTTCCGCCCTTTTTTCTCTTTTCTGCCGGCCGTCCGACGGATGTGCTCAAGCTGGTCTGCTCCGAGTCAGCGACAGCGGAGATGCGCTTTGCACTCGCCTTAACATTCGTCACTGCTGTCTTTTACGAGCCGTTGCGGTTCGCTCTAACAGCTCTCGTTCCTTGGCTGGAGGGTGAGTTGCCAATCTGGCGCGAGCGAATTGACGCGAGCGATGGATAGTCGGTAAACGGCACAGCTACCCGCTGCAGAAAGGTTAACGCCATACAGCTGCGCCGCCATCGCTAGTCGCCGGTCTGAGCCAACTTCCGCTGCTCGTGCACATCACTGCCGTCTCCGCGTTGGGCACAGCGCTGGGCACGGGCCATGTGCAAGCGCAACGGGTGGGATAAGGTGGTCCATCTCCGACGAGGAGAACGCCGATGGGACCAGTTGAGGACGGACCAGTTCAGGGCGGGCCCGTCCAGGCTCGTTGAGGGCGCGAGAGAGGCGGGGGGCTCGAAAGGGCTGCCGAGATCAGGCTCAGATAAGACGTTCCATCCGGGTGCCGCACTTCCCGATCCTGAGCTGTGCCCCGAGAAGAGAACGCACTCCTGGTGATTAGGTTTTCGTGCATAAACTTTAACAGTAGCACTGCGCCTCTCGAGACGACGGAGCCAACAGCGGCGTCGCCGACGAGGTCCAAGCAAGCAGGCCGAACCGGGCCGAGCAGCGAGCACGGAGCAGCATTGATCGGCGTCGCCTCCCCCAGCTTATTACCCCCTGCGTCGAGGCAATGACTATCGGCGAGCCCAGGATGTGTCTTGCGGCTCTGGAGGCCAATCGCTCTCAGCTGCATCATCACCGCCTTCAAAACCGTCGGCGTGCATGATCGGAGAGAATTGGAGAGGAGGCATTGACGGTCTCAGCCCTACCTGGCCATTCTAGATTATAGAATGGCATCCTTACATCTAGAATGGCGTCTCGCGCGCGCTCACCCGGCCGCCTCGCAGCCCCAGCGGCCGGGGGGCGCTTGCCGGGGTTGGGGCTGGTCACACACAGGCGCCACTTTAACGCGACGAGCCAGAGGAGTCACACAGGAGAGCCCCCCACATGCCACATTTTCAGCAGCAGACGGGCCGCGGTGAGGGCCCATTCTGTATCGAAGAATGGGGTCCGCCGCCGTCCCCCACGGCCTTCTCACGCCCCCAGCGGCGGCGTGCCGCTCGGCCAGACTGGTGGGGCTCGCGCACAAGCCCCAGTTCAACACAGAGAGCCCAACAGTCCGCAAATGAGAGTCCTCCCCCCGCCCCCAAACCAGAGCAGACGCCGGGGGGTGCGCCACGTATGGCAAAAGCAAACGCACGATGGCCGCCGGCGGCCGTTGAGCGCTGCCGCCGTTCGAGCCTTGGATGTCAGTCCGTCGCCGCCTGTGGCGAGGGCAGTGGAGGTGTGAGATTTGTGCTCGCAAGTGGTGGGCGGGCGAAAGGGTCGGGCGGCGAAAGAGAGCAGACAGCAGACAGCGCGAAATGCGGACTACTCGTGTCACATCTACTCCTCGTGTCACCTAGTCATGGTCGTCGCTTCCCTGGCCGGTCTCCGAGTCCTGCTCCTCGCCCGAGTCCTCGTCCAGTTCGAGTAGTCTTCCTCCTCTTCGTCCTCTCTTCGTCGATCTCGTCGAGCCGGCTCCTGGGTCCTGGCCCGACGCCCGTGACGCTGGGGCCGACTTGCTACGCGCGCTGCGACCCGGACCGCCACCTCTGCTGCCGCCTGTGCTACCCGTAGTCCTTGCCGGCGAGCGAGTGCCTTTTGCGGGGCTGTCGCCAGAGCGGGTGTCGCCACGGCCGTCTTCTGATCTGTTTTGTGGTCTGCGGACTGCGCGCTGCGCTGCGCTGCGCGTCTCGAGGCGCGCCGCAACACAGCCCGTGTAAATGGGGTAATGGATAAACCAAGCATCCCCGATGGCCGGGGGGATGTCCCATGGCCCCGGGGTGGCCGTGGGCACGCAGGGGGCGCCGCTACGGGCCGCTGCGGCGCCCATTCTACTTCGAAGAATGCCATTCTTGAAACTAGAATCTAGGTCTGAGACCGTTGAGTTCGTTCGACCCCAAGGGTCGACCCAAGCTCCCAAGGGCGAGGAGGAAATGACTAAGTTGGCTATGTTCGTAACAGCCACATGATTGATTGATTGGAAGATGAAGAACAGCCAGGCTCGGACTGGACACTAGCGCGGTATGGGTGGCCTCCATGTCCCAAAAAAAAGAATAAAAAAGAAACGTGTCTGCAACTTACATGTACTCTTGTGTCTTGACTTGTGCCCGCCGCTTCGCGTCGCGCTGGCCGCGAGCGGCACACGCTGCCACGTCGGCAACCGCCGCGCGCATGGAGCGCGCGGCGTCGGCATTGCAGGCGACTGCGCTGCCATCAGCGCCGCGCTTCTTCATGTACGAAGGCCCCGACTACGACCCCAGCCCACAGCCCTCTACAAATTCACAAAGCTGTATCTAAACTCGCAGGGCTGTGTTCGGGACCGTGGGCCCGCTCTACGCCATTATCTTTGCCTACGAGTCGATGGCGTCGGCGACAAAGGCCAGCGCGGCCCTAGCATGCCGATACCTGCTGCCTGCGACAGTCCCAACCACATTGACTACGGATCCGTGATGCCGCGCAGGATCTTCCGTTGTCGCAGCGGCTGATCCACACACGAGTCTACGGGCAGGCAATCGCGGTGGGCGCAACCGTGGCCGTGATGGCCATCCTGAAGGCGCAGGAGGATCGCGGCGGCCTGCCTTTTGGGGAGACGGCTCCGCAGGCAGACACTTCCAACACACTTCCGAGACGCTTCCGAGACGCTTCCGAGTCGCCTCGTTCTGCCAATTCCACGGACACAGCGCGTGGGGTGCCATCTACCCCATCCCTGCCCCCTCTCTTTTGTAGGAGACGGCTCTCACCCGGCTGTACTCGGTCTCCGCTGAGAACTACGGTTAGCGTTGGGACACGTTGGCCCTCGCTCGTGAGCGGCACCGTCTAGTTGACAAGAAGCGTCCGTTTGCTAGGCCGCCCCTCGCGCGCGCTGGGTGACAAGGGCAAGGACCTGTACGGGAGGGGCATCCGTGATCGCGACGCGTGGGCAGAGGACAATGTCGGCGACAAATACGGCCTCAAGTTTACTCAGGCTCGCATCTGCACACCCCACCACCAGTCTGAAAGCGGGCTCCGCCCTTGGAACCTGCGTCCGACTGGCACGCGGCTAGGTGATCGTGCCGATGCTCTACATGCCCGCCTTCCCGCTCACTTTCATCTTCCTGCGGAGCCGAGTGACGCATGACACCCTCAACAAGGTGGGCTGATGGCTGAAACCCTCCCCGCAGCTGCACCGTGCCTCGGCAAGTGATTGGAGAGAACGGTGCTGCTGGATAGGTGCTGGGCTCCATGATTTTTGTCGCCCTCCTTCACGCCGGGTACATCCAGTTTGGAGACTCGACGATGACTGGCGCCTGAAGCAAGCACTGGGCTACAATGGGGAGGGGAACATCAGCGGCCATCGCACCATCAGTCCCGGTTGAAGGGGGGAGCGGTACCAACCACCTCGAAGAGGTGAGATGGCGCATGTGATGGCTAGTCGCGTGTCAAGGTGTCAGCGCGACCAAGCGTGTTTGGGCAGCCGAGATGCGAGGACTGCGAGATGCGACGCTCGGTTAGTAAAGAAAGGGCATGTGATGTGCTGCCGCACGATTGTCCATTGAGTCATTCTCATTAAATAAAAAAAACGGACATCTCAACTGTGAGATGGGTAAAAAGGAACAGGTCTCCGCCCGTGCGATCTTTGTGCAGGGAACCCGGTTCTTTACCAGGTGCATGGAGACGAGGGAAGGCGCGAGGCGCTCCGCCGACAGTGCTAGTACTCCAAAGAATTCTACGAATACGAGCCCCTCTCACAGCAGACTGGCACGAACTAGCACCACAAAAGGCACAGCACTCGAAAGAAATCGAGGCGGCAGGAAATAAATCAGCGAAATGCTCGCCTCCGCCCGCTACGAGCTGCGGCTCGCCGCTCTTCCGCCCGATGCCCTGATCGCGATCACCGCCGGCGCGATGCGGGACAGCCCCGCTGCAAACAGGAGGGCCGAGGCGCTCCTCGCGCACCACAGCCCTCCGCCCGCCGTCGCGACCGACGTCCTTGCGGACCCTGACCTTGCGCCGTGCGTGCTCGAGAAGACGGGCCTGCGCCACGCGGCCGTGTGCAAGCGGTGGTCCTTGATCTGCGCGCCGCGCGGTGCCTTCGCGCGGCTGGTGGAGACCGCTGGCGATGCCTCCTCGGAGCTGCACGCTGCTGCGCTCGGAGAGCTCAGGCGGCTGTCGGGAGAGGAGGCCAGCGGCAGGCGGATGGACGCGTTCGTCGGTCTCTTGCAGGTTGGAGACGAGGACGAGAAGGCGGACGTCGCGGAAACGCTCCGGGAGCTTGCCCGGGACGACGATGAGAGCCGGGTGGCGATTGCGGCGGCTGGCGGAGTTGAGGTCCTCGTCGCGCTGGCTCGCGATGGGAATGAGGCGCAGAAGGAAGAAGCGGCGGGGACGCTGTGGAGCCTCTCTGCCAACGACGACAACAGAGTGGCGATCGCTGCGGCCGGCGGCATCGAGGTCCTCGTGTCACTGGCTCGGGACGGGAATGAGGGGCAGAAGGAGGAAGCGGCGGGGGCGCTGTGGAACCTCGCTTACAACGACGACAACAAGGCGGCGATTGTTGCGGCCGGCGGCATTGAGGTCCTCGTGTCACTGGCTCGCGACGGGAATGAGGGGCAGAAGGAGAATGCGGCGGGGGCGCTGTGCAACCTCTCTGCCAACGACGAAAACAAGGTGGCGATAGCCGCGGCCGGCGGCATTGAGGTCCTCGTGTCACTGGCTCGCGACGGGAATGAGGGGCAGAAGGAGAATGCGGCGGGGGCGCTGTGCAACCTCTCTGCCAACGACGAAAACAAGGCGGCGATTGTTGCGGCCGGCGGCATCGAGCTGTTCGTTGCTCTGGCTCGCGACGGGAGTGGGGCGCAGAAGGAGCGTGCCGCGGGGGCGCTGTGCCGCCTCGCTATCAACGATGACAACAGCGTGGCGATCGCGGCGGCCGGCGGCGTGGAGGTCCTCGTGTCGCTGGCTCGCGACGGGACTAAGGGGCAGAAGGTGCGTGCGGCGGGCGTGCTGAGGAACCTCGCTATGAACGACGACAACAGGGTGGCGATCGCGGCGGCCGGCGGCGTGGAGGTCCTCGTGTCGCTGGCTCGTGACGGGAATGAGAGGCAGAAGAAGGATGCGGCGGGAGCGCTGTGCAACATGATTGCGGCAGCACCTGGCACGCACGAGGGCGTCGTGGAGGCTGGCGGTGTGGCGGTCCTCTCCTCTCTCACGCAGGAGGCAAGCGCCTCGGACCGCTGCAAACTCGCTGCTGCCATTGCCCTTGTGTACCTGGCCAGCACCTGTCCCGACCTCCCCGCTGACGACACTTGCCTCTCGCTGCTCCTCTCGCGGCTGGACCAGCCCGAGGAAAATGGCTGGCGCAGAGACAGCATCAACGCCCTCCTCGCCCTCGCAACCTCCTCGTCTGCGTGCGCTGAGCAGTGGCACCGGGTTGGCGGCGTTGCGGCGCTGCAGGCGCTCGCTCGAGAGACGGCGGAGGAGGGGGTGGAGAGGCAGGCGGAGAGGTGCGACGAGGCGCTGGCCAGCCTCGGCGTGAGGAGGGTGCGCAGGCGGACGGCCGCGTGAGCCAGTTGCTTTAGCTCTTGTGCAGTTGGAGGCCACCAGCGGTGTTTTCTTCTTTTTGGGTGGGTAGATTAGGATTACTGAGGCGGACGCGACGCAGAGCCTCGTCGTAAAATTCTTGTTTCGCTCCCCCCGGTCCCGCCGTCATGTGCGTGAAGTGGTACCTTTGAAGCCGGCCGACTGCACGCTAAAGGCTACACGCTCGCACACCACTTGCAGAGTGGCTCTTCCAGGCGCTCACCCCACCCGGAGGCACGCCAGGCCCCGGGCAGCTGGCAGTCACTCGCCTAAGCGCCTAAGCGGCCTAAGCGGGGGGTGCTTAGGGTGCTTAGGCGCTTAGGCGGCCCTTGCGAGCGTGGCAGCGTCGTAATACAAGTGACTCCGATGGAAATCATGATGCCCCTGCAAGTGTCATCGCTCAGAGAGCAGCCTCACGCACGTCCACTGTCTACCACTGGTCCTGGTTGCACACTGCCACTGAACTGCGCTGGTCCGCAGGCTGGTGCGGGAACTCAGCATCAGGTCGAGTCGAGAAAGATCGCGGAAGGTCGAGTCGAGGAAGAGAGCAAGATCAGGGGCGGGTCCGGTAGACCGGTCCGCGGCGCTATATGCGTGGCAAATGACGCGAAAAGTGCCCACTGAAGCTGCGCCTTGACTTCACGTTGAGCTGTGATGATGCCCACAGCCCAGCAGCAAAGGCGGGCGGGCCGACCCCGCGGCCGTCGCCGCTGCCGCCGCCGCCCCCTCCGCCGCCGCCCCCTCCGCCGCCGCCCCCTCCGCCGTCGTCGTCACCTTGGGCTGCATCACCCGCGCCGCCGTCGTGCACCGGCTCTCGTGCTCATTCAACGGCGCCTCGAGCTGCAGGCCGGCGGCACTGGCGTTGTCGTGGTCGGGCTGCCCAACGTCGGCGCGGGAGGGAGGGGGCAAAGCCGTTATGGAGAGCGCGAGAGCGAGCGCCAAGAGGGCCCAGATTCTGAGCAGCAGCCGGCCCGGTCATGCGACCACTTGCCGACGTGCGTCCAGCTTCTACTATAGACGAACGCCGAAGTTTGCTCTCCGACGCCGTGCCGAGCGAAACCTTTTCCTTCGAAGCTCAGCGTCGTAGCCGGGCGAGCGGAATAGGGCAGCCCTAGAGAGCACCTTGAGGCCGTTCAATAGAGCCCGTGTTATAGTCGAGGGTCGATCGCCGGCCGGCGCAGTGATGCTCTGACCGCTCCGCCGGGCCGCCTCCGGGCCGCTGCCGCGGAGACGTGCACATAGGCAAGTTGGTATTTTCATATATGAACTTCAAAATAACATTGGCTAATCTAGTTCTACTCATCACGACTCGCCAGAAACACCCACACACTATGGGGTCATTGTGTAGCCCTGCTTAGAAGGAAAAGGTTTACTGCAAGGTCCGTATGCCTTACCGTGTAGTCGGCCAATCCTCTGATCCTCTGTGTTAGTGCCAGTGCGCGCCAGTCCGGGGGGCACTTGGAGTGCAGTTGGCATGAACCGCACACCCAGCCAGGGCCGGGGCGGGGTGGCAGCCGGTTACTTTGTTATTTTCGGCTGACTCTCTCGCGCTGAGACTGTGGTGTCTCGTCGTGCGCATCTTTTTCTTTTCAGTCGGACAATCCGAGCTGAGGGCCCACAACGGCCGCTCTACTCCTCCTCATTGTCACTCCACTCTTCCTCCGAGATCGCATTGGTCGCCCCTGCCCCATTGAGGGGCGGCTCGTTCGCCCACGCCTCGAGCTTCTTGGGCAGGGGGCGTGGGTCGTAGAATTCTTTTGAGAGCGCCTTCGTTGTTAATAGTACAAACCCAATGGTCCTTGGCGGAATTCTTTTCCGAGTTCATGAGCGGTCTGTGCCTCCTCTCGCTCTCTAGCCTCACGCCCAGCACGAGGGCGAGGCCCGCCGTGGCCTCCGCGACGTCCTCCGCGCCTCCTCTCCTCATCGTCGGTGCCGGCGTGCTCGGCAAGCTCATCGCCGAGGAGTGGCGCGGGCTGCACGGGCCAGACGTGGCCATCCGCGGTGCGAGAGAGCTTCGCACACGCGTGAGTAGTGGCCGCTCGCACGCACACGCCTGCCTCACCTCGTCGTGCCGCCCCTACCTCCTCTCCCGCGTTTCCTGCGGGAATTTTGCCGTCCTGGAGCCGCCGCCGCCGCCACCGCCGCCGCCGCCGCCGCCGCCGCCGCGCCTTTGCCCGGCGTCGGCCTCCATCGCCCTTATTGCCGCTCGCCGCCGCGCAGGTGTCGTCCGGCGGGCTGACGCAGACCGCGACGCCGCGCTGAGGGCGAGCGGCATCACTCCCTGCCTTCGCTCCGACCTCTTTCGTGCCGACGCCGGCCTCGGTGAGGGCAGCTTCGGCCATGTCGTCTTTTGCGCCGCGCCAGGCGGGAACGACGACTACTCCGCCGAGGTCGCGGCGGCGCTGCGCATGTGGGGCGGCGGCGGGGAGGGCGGCGGGGAGGGCGGCGGGGAGGGCGGCGGAGGCCGCTTCATCTTCACCTCGTCTGCGGGTGTCTTTGCGGAGCAGGACGGCGGGGTGGTGACTGAGGGTTCGGCGGTGAGCGATACGCCGCGCGCGGCCCGTCTGCTGGCTTGCGAGGCGGCGGTAACGGCGGCGGGCGGCGCGGTGGTGCGGCTGGCGGGCCTGTACCTGCTCGAGCGCGGCGCTCACAACGCGTACCTCGGCATGGAGACGGTCAAGGGGCGGGCGGACGGGCTCATCAACCAGGTCCACTAACTGCTAATTAAATGCGAATCAACTGTTTCATTGGACGGGCTCATCAACCAGGTCCACTAACTGCCAATTAAATGCCAATCAACTGTTTCATTGGACGGGCTCATCAACCACGTCCACTAACGGCCAATTAACTGCTAATTAACTGCGAGTCAACTGTTTAATTGGACGGGCTCATCAACCAGGTCCACTAACTGCCAATTAACTGCTAATTAACTGCGAGTCAACTGTTGAATTGGACGGGCTCATCAATTAACTGCTAATTAACTGCGAGTCAACTGTTTAATTGGACGGGCTCATCAACCAGGTCCACTAACGGCCAATTAACTGCTAATTAACTGCGAGTCAACTGTTTAATTGGACGGGCTCATCAACCAGGTCCACTAACGGCCAATTAAGTGCTAATTAACTGCGAGTCAACTGTTTAATTGGACGGGCTTCAACCAGGTCCACTATGCAGACGCGGCCTCGGCGGTCGTGGCGGCGCTGCAGCGAGCGCAGGCGGGCGACACATTGGTGGCTGCGGACGACGCCCCGCTCACCCGCGAGCAGATCTGCACGGTGGCGCGCCTCGTGTCTCCCTTCGACGCGCGGCCGATGCCGGCCTTCGAAGGCGGCGAGGCGGCGCGGGGCGGCGCGGGGACCGGGAAGGTGATCGACTGCAGCTACACGCGCGAGGCGGTCGGCTGGGCGCCACGCTACCGCACCTTTGCCGACTTCATCGAGCGCCTCGCGCCGTGACCCGTGAGAGCGGCAAGGAGGCGGCAACGCGGACCAGGCGGGCGCGGCGGAGAAAGTAGAAAAAACGCGGGACGTAAGGTTAAGGTAAATTTGGCGCTCGGCGAGAAGTGCTGCCCGGCAGGATTAGAAGAAATCGCGGCTTTTCGTTGTGTGGGGGATCGTTAATAAATGTCTGAATTTCCCGCACCATTCCCCCAATGATTCGCATATCGTCGATAGACGATACGTCGAGCCCCCGCCCACACACAGATCACAGTCTCAGAGCAGCATGCATTTCATCCAGAGCAGTACAGTGCTCAAGTGCTCAAGAGCAAGGCGATGCTCGTTACACATGCATGCTGCTCTCAGGCATCGATCTCAGGCACGCCTCTCAGGCACGCAGCCGTCCGGACACTCCGACAAGGAGGCAAAGAGGGGCCGGCGGCCGGCGGGGGCCGGGCGGGTGAAGGACAGTCGCGGCACGCAGCCAGCCGGGCACGTCGGCGGAGAAGCCGACGGCGGCGGCGCAACAACTGCCGGAACCGTGGCGGGCGGCACGTCGAAGCTCACGGTTTCGCCGAGCTCCGTTGCCATGCTTGTGAGGAAGGTCGGCTGTTTTGCGGCAGCCGTGATGTCCTCGGCAGCAGGCCCGTCCTCGGCCTGCACGATGGTCACCCTCACCTTGCTGTCGCCGAGGATCCCGAGGGTCACCTGCTCAGCAGAGACAAGCACCGAGGGGTCGGCGGCGGCGAGGGAGTCGATCACAGCAGCCGTTACGGCATCCAAATCGGGGGCATCGCGGGTCGTGCCGATCTTGAGGGTGAAGGCTGAAGCGGGGACCTCTCCGGGCCGCATCGGCAGTGGAGGGGGCGACGGAGGCGGCGGGGAGAGGTCCAGCGGGACGTACCCCGGATCATGGGGAGGCGAAGGTGGTGGGGACGGAGAGGGTGACGGCGAGGGCGAAAAGGACGGCGGCGGCGACGTCGCTGGGGGCGGAGAGCTCCCGCCGCCCGTCGGCATCTGCAGGCTCACCCCGTAAATCTTGCCGCAAGGCTCTTTCCGTGTGCACTTCATTTCCGCCCCCAGGTAGTTCGCGGGTCTTTTTCTCATTTCACAGTTTTGACCGTCGGTGGTGAGGTAGTAGGCACCCGGCCGCCCGATCAGCGACGTGCAGCAGGCGTTTAAGTCCTTGTCGGCCTCCCACGACACGACCTCTCCGTCGCCAACAGTGTCCCCGCCTGCGCCCTGGGGAATGCCCTCGACAGGCTCTCCTGTGTATGTGCCGTTGTAGTAGCTACTCTGAGCGGAAGTAATGATGCTCCAGCACTGGCTCGCTTTCCAGTTCTTAAGAGGAGGAGGCGGGGCGTTTGGCGGCGCCAAAGCGGGCATGAAGTGGACCGGCGAACCCAGGGCGTGATTGTGCTCGAGCCCATCCTTGACGTTGACAATGATAATGTCTGAGACCGTTTGTAGTGAGTCGAATTTCCCAACGTCCACGTATCCAACGCCAACCACCACCCTGCCATTGCTGTCGTGCGAGCACGGCATTCGGTCGAGAAAGAACGACTTTCTCCCGACCGTGGCACCGTTCACGCCGTTCAATTCTGCGACGACCGGCACGAGTGCGCAGTCCTTGGGCAGCCCGGGATAGTTTGGCGGGAGAGGAGGCGGCGAGGGGGGCAACGGCGCCAGCGGGGGCGAGGAAGGCGGGAAGAGAAGTTCGAGCGTCGACCCAGGCCAGACCGCGCCAGGTGGGGCCTCGAGGTCCACCTTGTACATTCCAGAGCCGTCAGCAGAGCTCGGCGGCATCCAGTGGACGGCTGTGATGGAGACGACGTGGTCTTGCTCGTTTGGGTAACTGATGACCGCCGGCATCCTCGGGTTCGGGTTCGCAATAAGCTCGCCGCTGTCGTCCACCAGGGCGCACGAGATGCCGGGTTCGGGTTCGACGAGCACAAAATATTGGTGCGGGTTCGCTTCAATTCCTTTTAGCGTCATCGGCTCTTCCGTGCAGGGCTCACTCACCTCCGAACAGTGCGCTTGTTGGACCAGGAGTGCAGGGGCGAGAAGCAGCAGCACTCTGGCAGAGGCAGGCATCTGCCGTGTCCGTCGCCGCAGCACTCTGGAGAGGCAGGCAGGCAGGCAGCACTGACGGGCAGTCCGTTCGGCCGTCGCCCCTGAGGCGTGAATCCTTTAGGATTCTCGCCCGCTCTGCTGAGGGGAGGGGACGGTCGACTGGGCCGGTCGCTCGACCCGATTCTAATCTACTCTCAGTCTACCATTCATGGACAATAGTGTCTGTGACGGCGGTCACATTCACAGCGAGGTCAGTTCACAGCCGAGCAGCCGATCCTAACACGCTTCACTTTCACGGCCTCGCCGCGGCTCGAGCAAGGTCAATGGCGATCGGCATCTTGCCAGCTGTGGCTTGCCCGTCAACCCGCTACCGCGCCTACTAGATACAGTCGCAGAGAGGCTTGGCTTCGCTCAGACGTCATTCGTGCCTTGCTGGCGCGTGCGGTGCCATGCTTTCCTGCGGTTCTCTACGTTTATCGTTTTTGTCGGTGCGATTGCCGTGGTGGCGGTGGGTGCAGCCGAGCCGAGTGTCGTCGTTGACGGCACCGCGCTCGTCTTTCGACTGCCTCGCTTCCTCTACGGGCGCGGGGACCCGTGAGTCAGCGCACAGGAGTCAAAGTAACTGGTGTGCGTTGAATCGGTCTGTTGTCGTCGAGGTTCTGCTGGGTCAGCTCACCGATGTGGTCCCGGCCGGCCTACGCGACAGCATCTGCGATACTGCTCGGCCGCTGACGCCTCGATGGTGGGTCGCCATTGCGAGGCCAACAATCCGGCGAGCTATGCCAGTGTCGCTACCGTTGCAGTGGTTTGGGGCGCCTCTCTGGCACTATCTTTGATGCCAGTGCGGTTCCCCAGACTTGGACAGATGCCAAGTGGCAGTCCATCCTCGCCTAGCTTCAATGTATGTGGCTCTTACGTACATTCCCGGAGGAGGACTGCTGACAGGGTTTGCGATGAGGAGTGTACCGAAGGGTTGCTCGGGGTTAGTGCACCACTAACCGCCTCTGCAAGAGCACTACGCCTCAGTCAGCGGGCTCATACTAGCACCCACCTCGCGAGCCGACGTTCTGGCTCAACGAGGCTGCTGCTGGCACTCGGGGCCGACTTTCTGGCCCAGCGAGGCCGCTGCGGGGCACACGGCGGCACGGGTCACTCCTCAACACTAACCCCCGTCGAAGCAGGAAGTATGGGTGTGTGTGTAAAGGCGGCGCGGCACGGCAAGGGTCGGCGGTAAGGCGGCGCGGCGGCAACAGACGGCAGGCAGGGCATCGGACGGCGGGACAAACGGCACGGGGCGTGGCACTGTAGGAGCGGCGGTACGGCGGCACGGCGGTAACGGACGGCAGGGGGGGCGGCGGGCTAAACGGCAAGGGCGGCGCGGCACGGAGGAAGGAGCGGCACGGCAGGGAGGAGCAAGGACGGCGCGGTAACGGCAGGATCACGGATAGGCGTGGCACGGATAGGAGCGAGCGAGAGGCTAGGTGGCGGGAGGGCGAGGCGAGGGTGGCTTTTTGTAAAAAAATAAAAACAAAGTCTTGTCGAGCCTGTGTGCTAAAAGAAAGAAAACAGACAACCCAAGGGAGGGATGGGACAGGCTGTGAGAGAGACTTGCTTGTTTAAATTCTTTTTGAGAGCGCCATCGTTAGCCACTCACCGGACACCATGAGCGTGCTTGCCACGCCGTTCTTCCTGCTCACGTCGCTCCGAGCACCGGCGCCTCGCATGGGAGCTCCCGGCTACTGGCACGCCAGGCGCGACGCGCTCGTGCGAGAATTGACGAGGCGCGAGCTCGAGCTCGAGGAACTCGAGGTGCGGCTGGACACCAGAGAGAGGCTGCCAGCGGCCCGGCCCGCACTGTCACCAACCGACACCGCTGCCAAATCGAATCTTCCGCCGCATAATCACCGCCGCCGCCGCCGCCGCCGCCGCTGCCGCCACTACGCTGCAACCCGCAACCCGCCGCCGCCGCCGCCGCCGCCTCTCCCGCTGCTGACTGGAATGCCGCCCGCGGCCAGGCGCGCGAGTCGGCGGTGATGCCGATGCTCGCAGCGGCGGCCGAGTCGCGCGAGAAGACCTCCTACGCGATGGGACTCGCCGCCGAGGCCCGCGCCGCGCAGGTGCGCCGAGATGTGCCGAGATGCGCCGAGATGAGCCGAGATGTGCCAAGATGAGCCGAGATGAGCCGAGATGCGCCGAGATGCGCCGAGATGAGGGGAGAGAGATGCCGAGATGGCCCGAGCGGTGAGCAAGCCGCGCCTCCTCCCGCGGAGATTTAGCAAACAACTGGGAAGTTCACAGCTGAGCTCACCAGAGAACTCCCTCCTCACCCATCAGGCCCTCGCAGAGCAAGCGCTCGCCGCCGCCAACGGCGTGCTCGCCAACGGGGCGCTCGCCGCGGCCGCTCCGTCGCCGTCCTTGGTGAAGGCGGAGGCGGAGGCGGAGGCGGAGGCGGAGGCGGAGGAGGCGGAGGAGGAGAACGAGTGTGTCGAGGCGGCGTGGCGGGCGCGGCTCGAGGAGGCGCTGGAGGAGGCGGCGGCGGAGCGCGAGGCGGACGTGCAGCGGGTGGCGGCCTTCTAATTAACACTAATTAACACTAATTAACACTAATTAAAGGCGGACGTGCAGCGGGTGTCGGCTTTCTGGATCGAGAGGCTGGGCGAGGCGAGGCGAGGCGGCGCAGGCGGCGGTGGCGCAGGCGGCGGCGACGGCGACGGCGGCGGCGACGGCGGAGGCGGCGGCGCGGGAGGAGGAGCACACAGGGGGCAGACAGCACAGCTCGACGGAGGCGGCGGCGGCGGCGGCGGCGGCGGCGGCGGCGTCGGTGAGTCGGCGCTGGAGGCGGAGCTGATGGCGCTTGAGGCGGACCACGACGCGATGCTCGACCAATGAACACTAGTTAACACTAATTAACACTGATTAGCAATAATTGATTAATCAAGGCGGACTACGACGCGATGCTCGACCAAGCCGAGGTGATGCGCGAGACGATCGGCGCCGCTACCGAGCGAGTCGAGGCGGTGATGGATGAGCTCGATGAGGAGCGTCGCGCGCGCGCGCGCACACACACACACACACACGCACACACACACACACACACACACACCGCTCACCCACGCGCACTGGGCCTTGCGCTTTGAATGCCGTGGGGCTCCTGTCGTTAGACGTGGAGACGCGAGGGTCGCCCCCCCTTGCCCCACCACCTCGTGTGTGTGGAGAAGCTCACCTTCCCTTCCCTTCCCTTAGGAGCGTCGTCGCGGAGAGCTGAACGTGCAAAAGGTCCTCGCCTTCATGCTGCCGCGCGTGGACGCTGCACGGGCGGCCGGCGAGGAGGCGGGCGCGCGCAAGGCTGAGGCGGCGCTGCTGCAGGCGGAGGCGAGGCGGGAGGTGGAGGTGCAGCGTACGGCGGCCTTCTGGCTCGCGCGCGTGGCGGCGCTCGAGGAGGAGGCGGCGGCGCTGCGAGGCGGCGGCGGCGGCGGAGGCAAGAAGGGCAAGAAGAAGGGCAATGGCGGCGCCTAGTGGCAGGGCGGCCAGCAAGGGAGTGCCGCGCTGGCGTCAGTGTGTGTCCCTGTTCAACTTTCCCAGTTGAGTGCACCGGGCGGCGGGCGCGCTTGCTCCTCGTAGTTCCGCTCTGGCTAGTTCCAATTCACTCTGACACGCTATCGCTAATCTTGAAAACGCGTCACGGTTACGGGTTACACGGAACTGCGCACTATGTCAAAACTACTTTACGGGGGTAGGCAACGAGATGAAACGGAGCTTTGCGCCCTTTCCCACACTAGAGGGTGACCTTGTCCGGGGCCGGCGGGCTTGACGCGCCCTCGGCCCCTCCCTCGGCGGCGGGGGGGAGCTTCTCAGTTCTCTGTCGCGCGCGGCCTTTGCCTTGCGGGGCCGCCCGACAGTTCATGGTCTCCCTTGTCCTTGATGCGCGCACAACTCCGTTGTACGAGTAGCGCCTCTTCACGACCACCAGCACGCTGTGAAATCGATTAGTCCCAACAACCGTTTTTATTCCTTCAGGATTGAAGATCCCTCACACCAAGATCGTGAGGAGAGGAGAAGGGGCGAATATGGGATGAGACGGCTAGCAGTGTGGTGGCGGCCGCGAGCATCTACCGCAAAGTGTCGCATGCGAGGGTCAACCGTAACGTATTTTCACCCCTCGAGCGCCCCGATCGCCTCCGTCACCGCGGCCACGAGCCGCGAGGCCTCCCCCTCGCTGCGCGGCCCATCCCTCCTCCACCTCGCCGCGTCGTGGTGCCTCGCCGCGTTCGCCCAGATGCGCAGCGAGTGCAGCTGGCTCCGCAGCTCGGTCGGCAGGCCGCACTCGCGGTGCCAAAAGTTGATGCGCTCCTCGAAGCCGTCGGGCGCCGCCGCAGAGCGCGAGGCGTACGCGGCGTCGAGGCGCGGCATCAGCGTGTTGAAGGCGAGCAGCATGTTGCCCTGGATGCGCGCCTGCGCGTCGCCGGACGTGCGCATGCCGCGCACCTGCACCGAGAGCGGCGAAGGCTCGTAGCCGGTGGTGCGGGCGGCGGTGGCGGCCTCGTCTCCAAGTGCCGGCGCAGCCTCCTCCATCCCCGCCCCGCGCTGCGAGCCAGAGAGCAGCGCCTGCAAAGTCGCGAGAGCCTCGGGCAGCGTGGGCCGCTTGCGCAGGCTCTCGTGGCAGAGGCTCTTCCCATCCGCCTTGGCGAGGTCCTTGACAGCGCGCGCCGCAGGTTCAGGCCACCCCGCCGCCGCGTCTGCGATCCTCGTCACGTCGATGTCAGTCCAGTCCTCCTCGAACTCGTCCTCGCACCGGTCGGTGAGCTGCACCTCGGAACGGTTGGTGAGGCAAACGAGGAGAGTGATGCCGATGGCGTAGCCGTCCGTCTTGCTCGAGTACTCGCCCCCCTTGATGATGGAGGGGCAGAGGTAGCCCGTGGTCATGTAAAGGGCGGCAGTCGAGCGGCAGCGGACAGACGCGTCCGGGCGCTGGTCCTTGGCAAAACCCGTGTCGGCGAGCACGGCCGTCAGCTTCTCGTCGAGCAGGATGTTGTCCGGCTTGACGTCGCGGTGCACGATGCCCTTCGAGTGGAGGTAGACGAGCGCCTCGGTCGCCTCGCACGCAACCCGCACGCGCTGCCGCCACGTCAGCGGCCTCGGCGGCTCTTCCATGCCCAGCCGCCGGAGCTGCGCCGCGCAGTCGGGATCCGAGATACGCAGTCGCGCCTCGAGCGAGCCGCCGCGCATCAGCGGCGAGAGGAGGCAGACGCCGTCGGGCGAGAGGCAGTAGCCGAGCAGCGGCAGCAGGTGCGGGTGGCTCACCGCCTTGAGAAGCTTCACCTCGAGCTCCGCCCGAGACAAGCCGCCCGACTGGCCCGACTTTGCCCGCTTGACGACGAGCGGCAAGTGGCGCAGCTGCGGAGGCGCGGCGAGGGAGAGGTGGAGGTCGGCCGACGCCTCGTAGACGTGGCTGAAGCCGCCGCTGCCAATCAGCTTGCCCTCTGCAAACCCGTCGGTAGCCGCGGTGAGGTCCGACAGGGCTATCTCGACGGGCCGAGCAACAGCCACCTCCGCCGCGGCCGGCTCGGTGACAGACAGCTCTTCCAGCCGCGACTCCGCCGCGCTCACCTCCTCGGCCAAGGCAGGCAGCACTCCCACGTGCGGCCTGGCGGCGGCGATGCCCGCTCGGAGCGCAGAGGGGCTGTCCGCGGTGTCGAGCGACTTGAGCGCGCCCATCGCCGCGCCATGCGCCTTGCGCAGCCGCTGGCTGTCCCGCCTCCGCGCCTCCTTGAGCTTGTCGCGCGCGCGCCTCTCCTCGAGCGCCGCCGCAAGCTCCGCCTCCGCCGCCGCCGCCACCACCTCCTCCTCCCCCTCTTCCGCCGGCGCCTCGGCCTCTTGCGACGGCCCAGCGCCGCCCCCGCCGCCCTGCTTCTTCTTCTTGCCCCTCTTCTTGGCCTTCTTCTTCTCCTCGGCGCACTTCTCCACCTCCTCCTCCGCCAGCAGCGCCGCCGCAGCCTCCTCGGCCGCCCTCTCGGCCTCCACCCTCTCGGCCGCCGCCCTCTCGGCCACTGCCCTCTCCACCTTCGCCTCAATCTCCGCTCTCTTCGCCTCCCTCGCCGCCGCCTCAAAGGCGCGCTCGCACTCGGTGTGGCCCTTCTCCTTGGCCAGCTGCAGCGCCGTATGCCCGTCAGAGGTGCTCGCCGCTGTGTTAGCGCCCGCCCGCAGCAAGCAGAGCACGACAGCGGAGAGGCCCTCCAGGCACGCGATGTGCAGCGGCGTGGCGCCAGTCTGCTTGGCTTGGTTGACCACCGCGTCGGCGCCGAGGAGCAGCTGGACGCACTCGAGCTGGCCGTTCTGGCACGCGATGTACAGCGGCGTGGCGCCGTTGTTCTTGGCTTTGTCAACCACCGCGCTGGCCTTGAGGAGCAGCTGGGCGCACTCGAGGTGGCCCTCTTGGCATGCGGCGTACAGCGGCGTGATGCCGTCAGTGTCTGCTTGGTTCACCGCAGCTCCCGCGGTGATCATCAGACGGACGCAGTCGATCTGGCCAGCCTGGCTCGCAGCGCTCAGCGGCGTGGTGCCGTCATCCTTGGCTTGGTCGACCGCCGCGCCGGCGCCGAGAAGCAGCCGGGCGCACTCGAGGTAGACCTTCTGGCACGCGATGTACAGCGGTGTGGCGCCGTCGTCCCTGGCTTGGTCGACCGCCGCGCCGGCCTCGAGAAGCAGCTGGATGCACTCGAGGTGGCCCTCCTGGCAAGCGATGAACAGCGGCGCGGCGCCGTCTCCCGTGGCTTGGTTGACCGCCGCGTCGGCGCCGAGGAGCAGCTGGGCGCACTCGAGCTGAAATTTCTGGCACGCAATGTGCAGCGGCGTGAAGCCGTTCTCCTCGGCTTGGTCGACCGCCGCGCGAGCCTTGACAAGCAGCTGGGCGATCTCGAGGTGGCCCTTCTCACACGCGACGTACAGTGGCGTGGCGCCATTCTCCTCGGCTTGGTTGACTGCCGCACGCGCCTCGAGAAGCAGCTCCCGGGCGCACTCGAGGTGGCCCTCGTCGCACGCGACGAGCAGCGGCGTGATGCCGTCAGTGTCTGCTTGGTTCACCGCAGCGCCCGCGGTGATCATCAGACGGACGCAGTCGATCTGGCCAGCCTGGCTCGCAGCGCTCAGCGGCGTGGTGCCGTCATCCTTGGCTTGGTCGACCGCCGCGCCGGCCTCGAGGAGCAGCTGGGCGCACTCGAGGTGGCCGTTCTGGCACGCGATGTACAGCGGCGTGACGCCGTTGACGTTGGCTTGGTTGGCCGCCGCGCCAGCCTCGAGGAGCAGCTGGGCGCACTCGAGCTGGCCCTCCTGGCACGCGATGTACAGCGGCGTGCCGCCGCTGTTCTTGGCTTGGTTGACCGCCGCGCTGGCGCCGAGAAGCAGCCGCACGCACTCGAGCTGGCCCTTCTGGCACGCGATGAACAGCGGCGTGGCGCCGTCACCCTTGGCTTGGTCGGCGTCAGCGCTGGCGCCGAGAAGCAGCCGAACGCACTCGAGCTGGCCCTTCTCGCACGCGACGAACAGCGCGGAGGAGCCACGGCCCGTCGTCGCCCCCACGCTCGCGCCGCTCTCAATCAGCAGCCGCACGGCATCGGCCTGCCCGCGCTCAGCGGCGATAGTCAGCAGCGTGAAGTGGTTCTCGGCCTCGAGCCGCGCGTCGAGCAGGGCCGTGAGCGCCGCACCGCGCGTCCACCCGGCGAGGAGGGCGCGCAGCAACGTCAGGTTGCCCTTGGCCAGCTCGGCGAGCACGGTCGGGCTGATGGCGCCGCTCATGGCGGCAGCGAAAGAATCAAAGAGATATATTTGCCACTTTCCGCACAAACATGGCAGCGATACAGCTGAAGCTCTCGACTCGTCGACCGAGCTCTGGACGATGCCGACCTCAAACCACCAGCGCCAGCAACGACGTGCCGCGGCTCGCCGCGCCGCTGTTGCGACCGACGACGTGCCCGACGCCGTCCCGCGGCCGAAAGGAAGAGGCCCGCGCAACCACTTCTGGGACCCGCGGCCGCCGGGCGTGCGGCGGCACAACGAGTCGAACGAACCGAACCAGCGCAGAGCGGCGCGTCTCGCGAGCGCCCGCGGCCGCCACGCCGACGCCGTCCGCGGCCGACGGTGGTCGCGAATCAACGCGGCGCGGTGCAACGAGGCCAAGTCCTTCCAGGCTCCCGCCAGCAGCGCCTCGTGGCGTGGGCTGCACGGCCCTTCGAGACGGCCCGGGGGGCGGCGAGAGACCTCTCCCGCCGGCATGGCGCACTATATCACCCGTAGAGGCCTCTTTATAGTCGCCTTTTGGCACCTCCTCTCTCCACGCCGCCGATTAGACCTCGCCGCATCGCATCGCCCCCTTCCCTGCCCCGTCGCCCTCCTGAGCTCTCCCTCCTTCGCTCCAGCCATGCACAGGACCGCTGGACCATTGGCCCGCGTGCCAGGCGTCCGGGACGGCCGGGTATCGGCTCCGTACTTTGAGCCCTCTTGGGCCACCCTCGCGTCCACCGGCCGGCAGAGCACCGCTTGGGCGACTCAGACGGCCCGCCCGACCAGCGCGTTCGATCGTGCCGCCCCCACAGCGTCAGTGGCGTGCGTGGGGTGGCAGGCGGCGTCAGCGCAGCCCCTCGTGGGGGTGCCCACCGCTCTCCTCTCACCGCTCCCCCCCGCCCGTGGCACCCCACACACTCGTCCCTCCTCAGGGGCGCAAGGCGGCACGGCACGTTCAGCGCTTGCCTCAGCCCACCTCGCCTTCACGCCCGCCACCGCGACCAAGGAGGTGGCCTCGGCGGCCCAGATGAAGCCCGTGCGGCTCGTTTGGGAGCCGCATGCCGTCCCTCTCTCGCCGGCGCTGCTCACCACGCCCAAGCCTACGCCGAGGAACCCGTCGCGCCCGTCGCTCACGAGCTGGTGGCTCGCATCGACCGAGCCGTCCAGCTTTCTCACGCCCTGCCCACGATCAAATTCGAGACGACCAACATCCGACCACAAAAAAGGCCCGCGCGTGCTGCGCGGGCCGGCGAGCGACTAGCGAGCCAACCTGCTAGTTTAAACAAAACAAGTGCGTCTCACAGCACACAGGCTCGACACAGGCAGCGAAAGAATTGCGAAAGGGGAATTCTCAGCCCTACCCGCTCTCAAAGCAGAAAAAAGAAGCGGCCCCAGCGAGGTTCTCGAGGTGGATATCCTTTGGCCGCGTTGGGTAGCGAGGATTGGTGTGACGCGATCCACGCAGGCGTGTTTTCTGACGGCCGACCGTCAGTGCACGGAGTTGCCCCTTCTCCGACTGCCCCGGCTAGTTCCCGAGTTTCGCGGGAGTGACCCCATGCGTCAAACCCGAGACCTAGCGCGGGTGGGTTGGAGGGGGGCTCGCTCGCTGCAAGGAAGGGCGGTGTAAGAAGCCGATCCCCGCAGTCCGCCCCGTTCCTCCCCATCGGGCCGCGTGAGCGGCCACGCGCGCCTCGCAGATTCGTTTTCGCGCCTGGGTCAGGCGCGCGGGGCATCCCCCGGGTCGCTCGACCAGCGATCCGAAGAGTGGCCGCTATGCGATCGTTATCCGTACTGTGTATGCACGCTGCCCCCTATGCATTCGCATCGTGTCTTATAAAAATGAACTCGGGGGCACGGGACGCGGCACAAACGGGGCACAAACGCCAGGCTACAAAGACGGGGAGGCACGTAGTGACGCAGGGGAGTCTAGGCGACGGCGGCGTCCTCCGACGCCGCGGCGAGCCTGAGCTCGGTCGCAATCTCTTCCGCCGCCGCGAGCTGCAGCGCGACTGACATGCGCTGGGCCTGCAGCGACAGCCACGACCGCGTCGACCAGCTCGCCTCGTCCTCGTGCTGCCGCTTCGAGAGCTTGTTGCGCACCTTGTCCTTCATCTGGTAGAACAGCCGTTTGACCGCGTTGCACCACCCGCCGAAGGTTTCAAACAGGTACATCTGCACGTCGGTGTCCGAGCGCGAGAGGGCGTGCGCGTAGTCCGCCTTCTTGTACGCCACATAGCCGCCGCCGTCGCTCGGCCTGCATCGTGATATGCATCCTTCCCAATTCATAACCCTAGGGCGTATGGCTCGTTGATTCCGCCGCCGCCACCGCCGCCAGGGCGATTGAGAACGGCGTCTCGGAGGGTGATTAGCCACGCCTCTGGCAGGCTTTCAATTAATCGGCTGTATTCGTGTTGGTCGCAGGGCGGGTTTGGGTGGCAGCTTCTCCTAAACTCGCGCCAGGCCATTGGCAGGCCGTCCCCGCCAAGGAGGTGCACTACGTGTGTTACCCCGACTTCTGCGAATCGCACCGATCGCTCGTAGACCTCCCGTGCGTCTTCCTCTCTTTCATTGGTCCACCGGCAGAGTTTGGGTTTCGGTTTCTTGTCTCTGGCCAGTCGCTCCCAGTCCGGGCTGTCGAGTACCGCTGCGCCCCACCAGCCCGACAGGTGTGGGTTGTAGAATAGCGGCTCCATTAACACGCGTCCGATCGACCAAAGCCCCCCCACTCGCACTGTCCTCGGTACGCCCGCCCTCGCCTGTCGGTACGTGACTTCAGGCGTGTGGTCTTTCTGTGCGGCGTCCTCACCATCGTACGGTACCAGTCCTCTCAGAGTGCCATGCGTCTTGAGTGCGATGCGCCAGTAGGCGGGCATCGTCTCGGGGAGATTGAGAAAATCGCACGAGGAGTGGAAGAGCCGTCGCCCCATGCGGAGGTGCCCGTATGCTCGATTGACGTAGGACGCCACTATATTCACGCCTTTGTGTGACGACGGCGTGACCAGGCGGCTCAAGCACCGGACCGGCGGCCGCGCAAAAAGGGGGCCCGCGCGTGCGTAGCTGAAGTTTAGACGATGGCGCACCGGAACAAGACTGCGCGCAACAGCGCGACTTGCGACGAAAGCCACGACGCGGCGGTTCTGGAGTGGATCGACGGCGACGGCTGGGAGGGCGTGCCGTCGGTCGCGCAAGAATTCCACCCCGATGTCCTCGCGACGGAGGACGCGCACCCACTGCGTGGCGGCGGGAGCCGCGGCGGGGACGACCTCGCCTGCCTCATTGGCACATTTCTCGACCCCAAGGGCGCGATGGGTCTCTCGTTGGCGTCCCGGCGGCTTCACAACCTCTGCCGCGGCGACGCGGGCTGGCGAAAGGCGACGAGGCCGTTTTACGTGCAGTCGGCGGTCCTGTCGCTGTCGAAAGAAGAGTTTGGGGAGGCGCTCGCCTCTGCGGACATCGCCATCGCCATCGATCCGACGATGGCCGACGGGCACTCCTCGCGCGCGCATGCGCTGCGCGGCCTCGGCCGCCGCCAAGAAGCTGCGCAGGCGCTGCAAGAGGCGGTTGCACGCGCGGGCTGGTCGCCGACCTTTGTTGTCAATACGTCGATCACGTGCGCGTACGCGGAGAAGGAGGATGCCAAGGAGGCTGGATGCCGCTGGAACCCGGCGGCCAAGACGTGGTATGCGCCGCAGGGCATGGACAAGAGCAAGCTGATGGACGCAAACGCCAAGGGTCGCTGGATGCCCTGGGGGGAGAAGCATCTGGCATGATGCGCGGCGGACGATCGTGTTTGCGCAAGACGGTGTCCCGCGGGAACAGCCAATGGGCCCCGATGAGCGCCCGAGGGGCGGGGGCTATGATTGCCTTCATGTTGGCCGCGCGAGCTCCTCCCGTAGACTGTAAGGCGCGTACGCGCGGCGCCGCGGCGGTCGTGGCTCGTGCGTGTCTGGCTGGGTGTCCCCTTTCGCCCCGGGGGGGGGGGGGGGGGGTCACAACGCACACCGTTCGGCGTCAAGCCCCACCAACTAGTGTGTGTGGTGAAGTTTCCACTACGTGGTAAACCTTACCTCTGTGCCGAGAGGAGAGAGGGGGGGTGGCGCTCGTGCCGACCTTCGTCATGCTCGACCATCCGCTGGGCCATTAAGGTTCTCCGGGCCAGTTGGGGGGGGCAAACCCTGCCCGGCCCCTAGGACCCCAGGTAAGGCCCAGGTGTGGCCTAGGGCATCAGAAGGGACCAAGAGGAGTCCAGTCTGAGCCATAGAGCCCATGTCTTTGCCTCCGAAGGTCGCGTTCAAATGCCCGGACGGACGTCACAGTGGTGTCCGGCCGGCGCGATCACCGAGCTGTGACGCTCAGGGAAGACTGATGAGGTGCTAGTTTCTTTGGCCAGGGCTGGCCTTCCCCCCAGGCTGGATCAGCTGAGCAAGGTTTGGGGAGAATCCCCCATTCAGATCTTCAGATATTTTGACGC